TCCAGTCGGCGCACACTCATCTGGCCGATCTTCTACATGCCGCCGCCGCCATCCTCGATGAGCTCACGCTCGGTGGGTCGACTGCTGAGGGTTGGGGAGCCAGGCCGGCGGGCGGGTGCCATTCCCGCCATTACGCGAGGGATTCCCGTGCTAAATTTTGAAAACACTATCGGGTATGACGTCACTTCCGCCGGGGGTTTCGTCACTTCCTCCGGAAATGGCGTCATCCGCCCCGGAAGTCACGTGCGCCAGGGGGCGTGCGTCACTTCCGCCCTCGACGCCCTCCAACCCGACGCTGCCGCGTCATCGGATATGTGACCGCCGCTTCTGGTGGACATTCTTGCGTCCGACGGCCCTGCAAACGCCACACCTGGTACGCGTCTTGACTCGGCGGGGAACTACATTCCTGCCCTGCAACAGCGCTTGCCGTCTCTTAAAGTCTTCACGGCTAGAGGCGGAGACTGGGCAGCTATTGCCCGTCAATTCGTGGAAAACTCTGAGACGGCGGGGTGGACTGCGGACAGTTGCTCTTCGGGCTTTGCCTTCCGCGCTGGACGACACTGCCCTAGCTACATTCCTCATCATTCCGCGGAAGGATCGCTGCAATGAAGCACTCGGCCAGATGGCTTTGGTGTATGGGCCCCCGTCAGAAACCAGGCATCGCTTCAGAAGCCGGAAGAGGGAGGCTGACGAGACCCCCCTCGCCTACCGAAGTGCACTGATGGCATTGGCCCAAGCGGACTACCCTCGTATGGACGACGTGGGCATCGACACCGTCGTGCTTGAGATAATGTTGCTGCTGGCTCGTGAGTTGCGCATCGCCATTCACGTCAAGGATGAGGCAAATCTCTCCTCACTGAGCACTGCACACTACCTGCACATGGAGCTGCTACTCTAGCGCGACGGGCAGGTGGCGACGTGTGCCACTGCACGTTGCCGCATTCAGAGAACGAGGCCCTGGATAACCAGGCCTTCGCATCACATCACGCCGCGAGCTGGAGGACGACTGACTGGCCTCGCCAGGGCGAGCCTCGGCGGGGGAGACACAGTTCCCCGCTGGCATGGGCCCGCGTCACGTGCTACAACTGCGGGCAATAAGGACATCTGTCGTCGGGCTGCCCAGCTGATCGACTGCCGCGCTCTGGGTCGCCCGCTGTCGTCTCTCCGCACGCCTGCTGCTTCACAGGAGCCGCAGGCAAGTCACGACACCTCACAGCATTCGGCCCCTGCCCTCATCTCACACTCCTCATTCCGATGTGCCGCTCCGTCGCGTTGTGTCGAGGGGTCAGGGCTGGGATAGGGTTGATTTTCGGCAGCCACTCCGACCAGTTCAGCGGTCCTCCGATATCATCGGCACCATTGAAGGGGTTGAATTTCGGCTACTGGTCGATACGGGCGCTTCGGCAACCATCATTTCGGGCCTCATTTACAACGTGCTGCCCCAAAGGTGTCAGTCGCTCACCCCGGTTTTGGTCCCTTGCTTCGCAGCAAATGGAGGTTCCCTGGGAATAATTGGCCAAATAAAGGCCCAGATTTGTATTGGCGATATTAAATTAACGGGTCCCATTTTGGTTTCCGAGACCCTTGTCGTCCCCTGTTTGCAGGGTACGGATTTCCTCGGCAAAAAGCCCATTAAAATCATGATCGACAAAGGCTGCATTGAGCTCCCTTCGGGCCGCCGTCTATCGTTCCTGCCCTCACCCACCTGGCTACGCACGGCTTGCGCAACCGTTCAAGCGATGGCGTCCCAGACAGTTCGGATTCCGCCGGGCGCGCAAATGTTGATTCCGCTTCGGTTGCGGAAACCGCTCGGGTCAGGGACGGCATCGGGTATTTTGCTGGCTCCATCCAACACGGCCGTACGGGGATTAGAGCTGATGGGGGCACAGACGCTTATGCCTGGTGAGGGCCAACCTTTCATTCAAGTGCTGAATGCGGGGTTGCCGACAAAGGTCGTGCCCCAGGGGGCAGTGATTGCTCACGCATCACTGCCACTCCACACCATGTAGATGGTACGCCTCGGTCCGAAGCACATTCTGACCCCGACGACGGTTGGTTGGATTCCCTCTGTTCAATCGGTTACTTCGTGAATTCGCCGATGTTTTTAGCAAGCACAAATTTGATATCGGGTGCACTAATCTATTGAACCATCACATTGATATGGGCAATTTCGCTCCCATTCAGCAGAATCCGTTTCGGCTGAGCCCGGCAGAGAAAGAACATGTCCGGTTGGCTGTAAATGATATGCTGACCGCGGACATCATGGCTCCATCCACCAGCCCATGGGGTGCACCGATTGTACTCGTCAAGAAACATGATGACAGTTTGCGATTTTGCGTGGATTTTCGGAAACTCAACAAAATTTAGCTGGCAGACGCGTATCCGCTTCCTCGCATGGAGAGTCACTGGATGCCTTGGCGGGGGCGCGGTACTTTTCCACCTTGGACCTTTTGTCTAGATTTTGGCAACTGCCCTTGGACGAGGCATCTAAACCGAAGACCGTGTTTCGCACGCCGCAGGGCCTTTTTGAATTCAATCGGTTGCCCATGGGTCTGCACTCAGCCCCAGCGATGTTCTAGCGGCTAATGGAGCTGGTCCTTGCTGGGCTGCAGTGGGACTCGTGTCTTATCTATCTAGATGATGTAATTGTTTTCAGTCGCACGTTCCTCGAACGTGGGCTGTGTTTGTCAGGATGCGGACCACTAACCTTAAATTCAAGCCCCAAAGTGTTTCCTCTTACGGGAATCGGTGCGGTATCTTGGGCACATTGTCAGCCATACGGGCATCGCCACCAACCCCGCAAAGACTGATTGTGTGAGGACATGGCCGACGCCTACGTCTGTCGGTGAGGTCCTGCAGCTTCATAGAGTTCGCGTCCTATTACCACCGGTTCGTTGAGGGCTTTGCGTCGATAGCGAAGCCTCTTCATGCTTTAATGGCTAAAGGTGCTAAATTCCACTGGAGGGATGCCGAGGACGGGGCATTCAAGGCGCTTCACGACGCCCTTGTCGGCGCCCCTCTCTTGTGCTACCCTGACTTCACCTTGCCCTTCATCCTGAGACACTGATGCCAGTAATACAGACATTGGCGCAGTGCTCTCGTAAGTCAGTTGATGGCGTCGAATGCGTCGTCGCCTACGGCAGTAGGGTGCTGTCGCCAGCAGAACAGCGCTATTGCGTTACCTGCCGCTGAACTGCTCGCTATTGTGTTCTTTGTACAACAGTATCGACCGTACCTGTACGACAGGCATTTTACAGTTCGCTCCGATCATGCGGCACTGCAGTACGCGCTAAAAATAGACCAGCCATCTGGCCAGTTGTCACGATGGCTAGAAGTCCTACAGGACTATGCGTTCACGGTTATCTACCGGAAGGGCACGCGGCATTCAAACGCTGATGGCCTATCGCGCCTTCCCCTGGGGGAGGGCTGTGCATGCTTTACGGGCTCTGGGAGGTGCAAGTCGCCCACTGTGGCTGCACCTACTTCTCCCATTGCGGCGGCGGCAGGGGTTGCCGACGCAGCGCCTGTCTCCACTGCCGACTAGCATGATTTGATCGCTCGTGACTCGCTGCTTGAGCTGGCGATTGCCGGGAGAGTATTGGGGCTATCGTTATGCGTGATGGTCTCCTCATGTCCTGGGATGCCAGCTCTCGCCATTACAAAATCGTCGCTCCTACCACTCTGCGAGGCAGGGCCATGTGGGCCGCGCACGAACGACTCTTGCACTTGGGTATTCATAAAACGCTCGCCACGCTGCAATTCGATTTCTTTTGGCCAGGGATGGCAGCGCGATGTCGCCGATTTGTTAAACAGCTGCACACAGTGTGCGCGGCGGAAGCACCCGGCTAGGCCGGCCTGGCCACCCCTTCAGTCAATTCAGGTGTCCCGCGTCAACAAGCTGGTGGCTCTGGACATTCTGGGTCCCTTCCCGGTCACCGTCCAGGGTAATAAGTACCTACTGGTTGGGGTCGAGTATTTTACCCACTGGCCCATGGCCTGGCCCCTCCCCAACCAGTCGGCAGCAGCCGTTGCGGAGGCATTTCTCCAGGGCTATGTCCTGGATAAGGGCGCCCTGGAACGACTGCTGACCGACCAGGGAAAGAACTTCTCATCAACCCTTCTGCGGGAGGTCTGCGACCTTCTGGGTACGCAGAAGGTGCGAACCTCCCCCTACCATCCGCAAACCGATGGTATGATCGAGCGCCTTGCACCGGACAATCACCTCTATGTTGTGCCCACAGGTGGATGATGCTCAACACAAATACATCTCTTATCTCAAGCGATCGTAGATGAAATAAACATCACCCACTAAACTTACATTTCTGGAATTCACACTTCCGTCGTAGCGAACTGAAGTCAATCATTAATCTCCGTGCACCTGCCGAGTTATATTACCTAATTGCTCAAAACATCTTCGTTACACTTTACGGACGACATTAGTACCCAGCACACACACGCGACCTTGGGGCAGGTTAATAGGTAACTTTTGCTGCAAGGCTGGGACCAAAAATACGGTTGGTAATTTGCGTTTCTGTAGCTGCGTCACCGACTCCACCCAAAAGCCATAAATGTCCCGCAGTGGTATTTTTAAGGCAATGACGCAACAATAGTACCAGCTTCTCCATCAATTGCCAAAATGAGCGTACATTCGTGGCAGCGCAGGGGCGTAGCTTATCGAAAGTGCAGGCAATGCACCAGGGCTCACGAGCTATGGGGGGCGGGGGCACCAGGGCGATGAAGAATGCATGAAGGCAGACAGATAGGGGACTCCATTTCATTTCTTACACCAGGGCCCATCCCAACCACACCACTGTGGCTACCGTCTTGGTTGTTGTTGTTGTTGTTTTTTTATCAGCGCGCCATGCAAAATGCACATCCGTGTGCTCGTTCTCTTATCATGCAGAATGCGAGTCCGCAATTGAAAACGAAACATATTTCAGGGGCTTGTAAAAAGCACTTCGCGTTCACGCACAGAGTGCAGGAATTCGTTGCTGCGCGTGGAGACAGATGGTTTTGGTGCGACGTGTGGGGAAGAGGTTGATATTAAGGATCCTTCCAGCCGGAAGGATGACGGCTGCTTTGTTGTCGATAATTATAAGGCTCCCATTCACAGAGAGCCAGGTGGCTCATGAGGAGGTTCATAATAGACGTGTCAGCTGTGAGCCGCCACCGGGTTTTCGCCACCTGTGATTTTACCGGGATTTCAGGTGCAGCGAGTTTCTGTTCTCAGCCCAGTTTACAAATCGCTCGCAGAGAGACCCATATACTGGGATAGAGACCGAATACAGTCAACATGGGTAAAGTTGTGATGAAAGCGGGTTCTCCAGTGTATCCAGTTAATGATATCAATCCACTCACAATTGGCTTCACAAAAAACCCAGTCATGTGAAATTGGATTTTTGTTAAATACTAATTTTAGCTTACTTCAGCTGTAAGAATCAAACATTTAGATTGGACACACGCTGAACATTCTTTGCGGGGTATGTAAATTGTGTTAATCTAGTATGGATTCAGATACCTATTGTAGTAATTTCAGAAGCAAGTAGTTCTGTAATGCCATCATCTGGGTCATTCTCTTATATGCAGTGATGCATTGATGGAGTTCCAGACGTAAATGTATTTATCTCGTCATGACACCGATACGACAAGTGGAATATAATTGGGTAAAAAAAGAAACAAGGACGATAATATTTCATGGCAAAGGAAGCACTGTGCAGGACCGACCCTAGCAAGAGTGAAGCCGAAGGTGAGAACCCAATATTGATTCGGATACCACCTGTCAGTGATGTCAGCTGTGGCGGGTAATTGAATTCAGGTCATCAGGTTCATGGCGCAGTGGGGGCCAAAGCAGGGGCGTTCGCCCTCGTTGCTCCCTTTCAGTTTCTTGCTGAGTTCATGAATCTTGCTGAACACCTACAACGAGTGAAACGCTGACCATGGAGCACGCATCGCTCCGTTGCCACCTGGAAGGAGCCGTGCACTGTGGATGAGCTCGCGATGGCTTAGAGACCCGGGCCGTGGCACGTGCCCACTTTTGGAAACCCATGACTGCGGTGGCAGGACGTGGGAGCAAGCGTGTTCGCTCATGTGATATTACTGCTCCTCCGAAAGTGTACGCGTTGAAAGAAATTAAATAATATTTACGATTCACAATGGACATGTTTGAACACGCATATTCACAGCTACACTTGGAGTAGCCACAAATCGGTGGCATTAGGCGGACAATCAACATCTAGGTGCTAATTTTGCACTGTGAGAAATTTAATTTGGTTGATGCCTACATTTTTTGTTATATCAAATTACAAGCTTTAACTCGTTCTTCCTTTCATGACTGTGATTGAGGCCATTACGCAGAGGTCACTATTCACGAAACATGTTTTTTTATAGCACAAAATTACTTTAATTGACTGGACAATTGTGGGAAGGCGTGGATCGACGCTGAGAAGCACTGCTCTTCCCATCGGCTGTGTGCATGATTTGAGAGGCGCTCAACCTTTAGTCCAGAATATCAGAGGCATAAATGACAATTCCACACACAAACGCACGTGTCCAGTCCAAAGGTACTCATGGGTGTGATTGCAGCTGTGGGAGGCATTGGGGAGGGAGTGTAACAAGGAGGGAGTGTAGCAAGGAGGCAGTGAGGACTTGAATAGAGTTGCCACTGCGGGGTTACAAAAAAACAGGACATCATGATCGCTGCAAAGTATGATCTGTGTTTTGATTTAGTGTGCTGATCTTAAAGGTGCATTGAAAATTTGATACTCTGACTAATGCTCCTGATGTTGTGGAGTGACTCATGCAGCCAGCTATGGCTGCAGGGTTTGGTAGTACATGTTGTTATGTCGTTTATTGTGAAAATTCGGTCACAGTTCCTATGATCACTGTTTCATTGCTTTTATGGCTTTACTTTGGTGATTTCGAAAAGTTTTTTGGTTTGGCCATGTTTGTTTGTTGTAGTACGGAGTTAGACTGATGGCCTTAATCTAAGTTGTCTTGTGGTTGTTGTTGTTTGACTTGCATACCACTGGGTTTTTTGCACACAGCGTTGGTGTACGGTGCCTTTTCTGCAATATTTTGCTGTCTTTTTTTGAATTTTCTGTTTGCAGTTACTTTAAGATGGTTTCTTGTTCATGTTTTTGTTTGTTGCGGTTGCATCCGGTTCAAGAGCCGAATGGTTCACAGGGTTATACCAAATAAATTAACTTGAACTAAATCTCCCCCACCTCTTTCCACCCCGCGTTGGAGAGATGTTGATTCCCTCGCCTGGTATACAGGAGGCCGTGAGTTCAATCCCGACCCTGACACCCCATATATGTGGAGTTTACACGTCTCTATCCCCGTGGTCACGTGGAATATTATCTGGGTCCTCCCGGTTTTTATTTCACAATTTAGAATCAACATGCGCATAGAGTATTTGGATGCGATAAATTTCGACATAAGCCACTTCGTTGAGCTATCATTTGTGGCCAAATCACTTCTTAAAAAATAGCAATACCACTCAGTCGTTTAGCTTGAGTTTAGTTTAGAATGGATACAGTTAGGATTTAGTTGATCGGCACGTTACCTATAGTGGGGTAAAGTGTGGGTACTCCAATGTCTTCTTTGTGACAACTTTTTGGTTGCTTGTGCTTTTTTTTTTGGTGCAATGTCTTTGTTGATCTATTTGTGTTTGGGGGTTTTAACTTGCTTGGTAGTAGCTATATACAATATATAGGTGTTAGCCCTCATAATTATTAATGTACAGCGTTGTGGGATGCAATTATCATGAATGACGCTGTATAAAAATGTATTATCATTACTCTATAGGTATAAAGGGGGATGTATAGAGCCCTCACTTCGTTGGCAGCAGCATGAACATGCAATTGCAGGGTTGCACCATTCGCTTTGTATCATTATGAAATAATTCCGAAAGTGATGCAGGCTTCGATCCCATTGGGAGATCCAGTTTCACGCTTTACAATCGTACGCCATGCCATTTACAAAAAAGGCACTGATATCATAGAGAAATATTAAAAAAAAATATTTCCTTTTAAACATGCCATCGTTCGTTGCTTGCAAATGAGGCCTGCGGTGACATTTTAAAATATCAAAGATTTAGTTTCTTACATTTCACACTTTTTTGGAGGCAACACGCTGCAGCGTGTTTTGCAAACACTAAATATTTCTCGTTGCGCCCGTTGTTTGTTGGGTTGTATTTATCTGTTTAACAATGCTATTTAAGCCAAATTACCATTAATTCCCATTTATTCCAGAGGAAATTAATGTGTTTTAGGATTTGACTGGGGCAGTGGGGGGGTTAGCACTTTGCGGCTGTGAACCCAGTGGACCTGAATACAATCTCGAGCCACAGCTGATATTAGTGGGGAGTAATATTCGAACCAGTTCTAGGCCCCGTCTGGGCTGATTAAGTCGAGCAACATCCATGACCGCTACCTAATAGCAAGGCCTTCCATCCAGAAATTGACGAAGGGCTGTAAATAATTGTTGCAGACTAACGAGTTCTCTTCTCCTTTCACAGTCCAGCACTCAGAGGGCACGAAAAAGTCATCTGCGTTTTAACCGACTAAAATGCCAAGAAAATATGCAGTGTTTTTTTAATACGAATATTATGCCAAAATAATTACACAAATTGGATCGCAAATTGAAAAGTTAAAGCAATTTTAAAATGAACCATATCGGTCTTTTGGATCCACTACTCCCACCTCTTTGGTGTCGTTAACTACTATGCCTTAAGGAGCTTCTTCCGCCGTTTCAATTCAATGTTTATTCATTACACGGAAAATCCCGTTTAGCCAGTTACCCAGCTAGTTTCGGTGGCAATGGCCCACAGCCACTTGTCTTCCAAAGGGAGCCCACAGCTCCATTCACACTGGGATTTCCAAAGTTACGAAATACATTTCACGACAGAGCCATCAACAGCACAGCGGATAATCTGCCTGAATGTAATTGGGGTTTAGCAGTGTAAGGTTTAAAACCAAAGCCTATTAAGTTTGCTTCATCTCTGTAGAATAATATACACAGCTGCTGAAATTGCACCAAAGTCAAACACGTTTTTATTATTTTGAATTTTTGCATAGGGGTTACACTGAGCAAAAATCGTCTTTAATTACAGGTGTCCTATACAAACATCCAGAAGCTTCATTGGTCTCGCACAACAATGTCAACCCCCCCCCCACCTCACGTGTATCAGTGCACACAGTTTAATGTAAACTCTTTGACACACTCAGCATACTCCACAAACAAATCCCTTACGTGAATATAAATGTAACTTTTGGTCAGACCGCCATTCTCGCGTCCACTCTTTTAAAGTACCAAGGATGGAAGCGATATTACAATAGGGAAACTCTGGCCTCGCAAGTTAACACTATCGAGTGGCGGTTCTTAAAAACAAAGATCGTTCCAAATATCTCAGTTAATCTTTCATCTCCTCTAATGCTGAATCCTTATTGTACCATATACTCGATGGAGGTATCACCGTCCGATGCAAAACCCCTTCACACCTTCATTAGACTGGTAAGGTACAAGATAAACAAAAATATTATAATCACTCGCACAAGCTCCCTCCACCCCACAAGGCCTATAACTGGCTGTTGGGGCAAGTGCTGTGAGCGAGCACCTATGATGACCAGCACGGTGCACGAGGGGGTGGCCAGCACCACGCCTGGCTGCCTTTGTCTCCCCAGCACTGATGTTTCCACACCAGGTACGCATTTAAGGCAGAGTCAGCCTCGGGGAGGCCCAAGACCGGTTCAGATAATCACCACCGATGTTAGCAGTGGCCGGGATTCAAATGTCCACCAGGTTCAGAGTGCAGTGTGCACCGACCACTATGCTACCGCCCACAACTTTCCTCTTGTGTGGAGTCCGTCAGAGCTAAGTGGGCACTAAGCCCAGGCACCGTGCATCAGAATGAAAGCAAAGGGGGCGCCTCAACAAAGTGCTCTGTGCCCCTCCTCCTCCCGTCGTCTCCCTCTCGGATTGCATGCCCTCCGAAATCCCGCCCGGCCGTGTCATTCAGCGGTGCGCGCCTTCAAAACTTTCACAGACTCTGGCCTGTCAGGCACGGCGCCTCATTAGCGCCGAGGGGCCCCAACCCTGAACGAACGATGCCGCACTACCAAAAAAAAAACTTTAAATCCACCATAGCGGGTGGAAAGATCGCCCCAAAACGAGCCCGTGCAAGATGACACTGGCATACCTCAGCTCAAGACGACCTCTCGTTACACACCACACAAAAGGCAGACTTGCACTCAAAGCATTCTCTTGGTCCGAAGCCCGACCGTTTTTCCCACGTCATAATATTTAAAATCCTTCAGCAAAACATGTCCTTTATCGTTAGGTGCGGTGGCAGGGAGGGAAGTGTTCGCACTCATTCAAAGTATAAGCTTCCAAATATACAACTAAACCATTCAGCAAGTCACCTGGAATTGCGCCCGATCCCGTCAGGCGTCAAGAAACAAAGCTTAAGCCCTCGATGTTGCTTGGATGGGTGACCATACCATGAGCAACAACAAAAAACAGGTGTAGCAGTCGTTGTGGGTAGTGCAGCAAAATACATCGTGTATCCCCCCCCCCTCCCCATCTTCACCAACCCACATTGACTAGCGTGGTGAAGTATGGTCAAATAGCCATCACAGTCTGAAAGGTGTATGAGAAAAACTTCATCCAGCAGTCGTCGTTCATTAACACATTCTTAAATAAGCTGGCTTATATTATGTTGATTTCATTGGTTTACGTGGCGCTGTGCTGGATAGGCATTTTGTTCAAGCGAGCATTTTTCTCGCTCCCTGTATAAGACAAACAGCCCATAGTTTATACTAACTTTCATTGGCACTCGGGCAACACAATACAACCGTTGGACTTTGTAACTTCATTGCACCGATATATTTACAGTGTTGACCTTTGTTGCAGGAAATAATCCTTCAATTGTATGGTAACTTATTTTACAAGTTTCTACTTACCAATATAGCGACGATATTTTTTATTCAATTGCTCAAGCATCTGGATGCAGTCAAAAGAAGCCACAGCCTTGTAAACCTGATCAGCAGAAGTATTGTATAAATCCAGTGTCCACATACATGATATTTCTTATAACCAGCACTTCAGTGACGATACGTGATGCCGCAATCCAGTGTATGCAACAAACAGTAACACTTCTAAGGTCGCTTCGGTACGCGTGTTAAAGCACGTCCATGTAAACACGCTGAGAAAGTGACGACCAACAACGGTACTTCCTCAAGTCCTTCGTGGTTTTACAGATACCACCCCGAGTTTGTCCGGCACAAGTCCACACGAACAAACGAACAAAGCAATCAACCGACGGAGCAGCCCCACTCGGGCGCTCATCTCTTCTTCTTCTGCTGCTTGAGCATCTTGCGCCTGCGCAAAATCATCTCGTACAGCTTGTCCAGCCCCTCGGAGAGGCCCTCGCCGATGATGGCGCACGCCGGCTGCAGGTGCCACAGCGCCGCGGGCCCCAGCTCGGCGAGCGCCAGCAGCCGCTCCACCTCGGCGGGCGCCAACGCCGCCGGCAGGTCCTGCTTGTTGGCCACGACGAGCACGGGCACGCCCTGGCACTCGGGGGTGCGCGCCACGCGGTGCAGCTCCGTCCGCGCCTCCTCCAGGCGCTCGGCATCCACCGAGTCCACGACGAACACCACGCCGTCGGTGCGGCGCGTGTACGAGCGCCACAACGGGCGCAGGCGCTCCTGGCCGCCCACGTCCCAGAACTGGAAGCTGACGCCGCGGGCGCCGCCCGCCCCGGGCCGCACCTTCTCCATGTTGAAGCCGATGGTGGGCACCGTGTTGACGAACTCGTTGAACTTGAGGCGGTAGAGCACCGTTGTCTTGCCGGCCGAGTCCAGGCCCAGCATGACGATGTGCAGCGAGCGCAGCGTCGCCAGCTTGGCCAGCGGGGAGTTACGGCTGGAGTGCGACCCGCCCATCTCGCGCGTGCATGCGCTCGCCTCCACTACTCGCTTTTGTTTCCTTTGCGGGGATTTAAAATGCCGAGAGTTGGTGGAGTGGTGATGGTGGGCGTGCAGGTGGAATTTTCTCCAGCACTGTGTCTGAAAAAGTCAGGAAAGAGCATTTTGATGTCAGATGTGCGCCCGGTCTCTTCTATAGTCAAGGTCACTTTGTCAGCAGTCTGATCTGTGAGATAAAGATGCACACCATTTTTCCAGATAAGAAATCTGGAACAAATTTGTGTCTCTTTTACATTTTGTGACAGATCGCTCTCAGTTGGTCTTCTAGACTAATTAAACAATGATATTAATTACAACTTACAGATTGCTGATCAATCTACTGGTGGATGACGTTCCTCCCAACACCATGCTGCTGTAAATTTCCACATAAGCCACTTTGTTGAGATATTATTTTTGGCCAGGTCACTTCTGACAAATAAGTAAACATTTAAATAGTCGAGTTTTATTTGTATTTTTTGAAGTAATTTGTTTACCTTTCCTATACTTTGCACTATCCGGTTTTCATATTGTTTGTTGTTGTAACGTTCTGACCCGCACCGACTGGATATCTGTGAAAAATAACTTTATAACTCGTCAAATTCCTCCAGTATAAATAAATATTCTGCTTCTGGTTCATATAATCACTCCCCTATAACGTTAACTCACTGCGCCGAGATCATAGTGCATTGTAATAACAACGTGTGCTACTCCTCCACCATCCATGAGATACTTGCGATTACATTTTAAACAAATACAAATGGCCTTATACTCCATGCGAGGCCTCCATGTTCTATATAATGTTGGGCAATCGGCCAGGTCAGTCAAATACCTTCACAGAGCCGGGATCAAGATGACGTATGTGTGCAACAGCAGGCTTAACGCCCACCAACAATGCTTGTGGCAACATTTGGCAATGTTATTCAACTTGAATTTCCATCTGACACCAGCCTAAAGCAAATGGGCGCAACTGCTGAGCTTCGCTGTGATGGTGCTACTGCCTAGGTTTGTCACTGTCACAGTTGTACAGTATAGCTAGCGCTGCGTTGCATTTTCGCGTTGTACCGCGTGTCGTTTGGCACAGCGTCCCGACGTTTCGCTCGACGTACCGAGAGCTTTTTCAGAAACTGAAAAGGGTTCCTGAAAAAGCTCCCACACATTGTGTCAAAACAACATGCGGCACTATCTAAAAACACACTGGAGAGCCAAATTTTACGTAACCCAGAACGTGAATCTGGTGCTCTTATGCCGCTCGGTAACTGCACAGTCCGCGGTAAACTGTGCCCTAAAATCGCTCATTGTGGAACAGTGCAACCGCCTCGTGCACAATGATTAATGTAGCCGAAAATGGACGTTCAACAAAACATCTCCGAGCATGATCGAGGATGTGGAACAGTTCTAAAGATACGCAGTCAAGCATGCCTGGCACCAGACACCTGCTTTCTTTTAAAAGTATAGCAGACTGCATTCGTCACAGCTAAGAAAAACACATGTACATTTCATAAATTTCTGAAATTCCAGAACCTGCCGCATGAAGATAACCGATGGATTCAAAGTTCAGGCGATGCAATTTTGGCCACTAAACATATTGCTTTGCCTTTTGCATATAGTCAGGTGTGACGCAAAGTAAATTTGTACTTGACCGACTCAAAGCAGTCCCTGCTTGCAAACCGAATGACCCCGAATGCACTAAACAGGTTTGAGGCTGGTTTGTATTTGGATAGGTGACCGCCAGGAGATGGTAGTCGTGGGACTGACTGCGAGGTGGCCAGGAGATGGAAACAAAGCAATGGGGTCAGTCCCTAAATGATTCAATGTATTAGATATACCTGTGGATTGAATCCATCTGTCTGGAGCTTTGAATGTTATCCGCCTCGGTCATATATCTGTTTCTCCACATACTCTAGTTACTTCCCAAATGTTAATCATTCATAAATGGAAATTGGCCAAACATCCCAACGTAGTACCCTTCTGGTTTAGAGTAGAGAATTTGAGAGGCTTACTCGGGAAATGAAAGGGCATTATTATTAATATAATAATTGCCTGTGCAAAGATGTGGCGTCAGTCGTTTGTGTACTACCCTGTGAACCTGACAACCAGAGTTAAAATTCCAGCCATGGCTAACATCAGCGGTTGAGTGATATCCGAAACAGTCCTGGGCTCAAACTGCATTGACCAGCATGGTGAAGTATGGTCAATCAACCGCCATGAGGTCCTTCATCCAGCACTGTATGGACAACCGGGGCTGTATATTACGTTTGTTTATATATATATTATTGTTGTTATCATTGCTCTGCATGTGCACAGCTGAGAAGCGGGATTTGCTTCGAGGTCGGTTGTGCAAACTGACCCTGGGGGGGGGGGGGCATAGAAATGTGACACCTTCTCATGGGCGGTCGACGCGCGCTCTTGCACGACAGGCTTTTGCATTCCTCTGCCCTCCTTTTGCCGGACCTGAAATTCCACAATCCACTGCTGTGTACGGTCGTTCGTTTAATGGGTCCATGCCCAAAGGATCGCGCAATGTGCTTGTGAGCTCGTTAGCTCGGAGATATCAACAGACTCTCGACTTTCGCCTTCGTGCTGAAGTGTGATCGATGCCCCTTTTCCCACGCCCAACAGATGCCTCCAACTCTCCGATGTGGATTTTCGGTTTGTACCGTGCATTGTTCGGCGTGATGTCTGACTTTTCGCTCCACCTTCTGGGAGCTTATTCGGGAACGGAATTGAGCGACCCACGCTCTCCCTCGACTGTTATAAGAGTCGCCGGCTGCTTGTGGTGTTTTATTGTAGCCCAAGGGTTCACTTTAAAAAGAACCCGCAAAAGTTTTAGGACGTACGGCTGCTGTGGTGTGTTGGATCAAAGTGCAACTTTTATTTGATATAAGGGTACATGTTTTTTCTGTGCAGTAGAGTATAAAATACATATCCTACTGTACTTTTATGCCCCATGTCTACTATGCGATGCCAACATTCAATAACCTGCACCGGCCAGGGTGAGGTATGGTCAAATTACCTCCATGATCCACACGGCGCAGGGAGGTATCCTCATCCAGCAGCGATTTTACAAAACTAAAAGTAAAACATTGTATTTACCAGGTAAAGCCAACTGAGCTCATCGAAGTGGCTTATCTTCACGTGGGAATTTACAGTAGCTAAATAATGTAAATGTGGAGGGAAAACTTGGAAGACTTGAAGAAAAAAGCCGAATGAAACAACGGCGAGAGAGAACATGCAAGCTCCAAATATACAGGTGTCAGGGTAACGATCGAACCCACGACCTCCTTGCATACCAGGTGAGAGAGATAACATCTCGACACCACGGCGTACATGTAGATGCACACATGTTAAGGCTAGGTGCATAGCATATGTAAAGGTTTTGTTGTTGCCGTAATGGCGGAGCGTCAAGTCCGAGAGCCTGTTCATAATGGGTCACACAGTGTGCCCCAATGCTATATGCATGTTCACAATAAGGGGGGGGGGGGGGTCGGTGGAGGGGATGGCTCCGTTCCCGTTCAGAAATCACTCGCTACCGACGTTAGCCATGGCTGGGAATCGAAGTCAGGTTTCCAAGTTCACAGGACTGTGGTCTGACCACTACGCCACCGCCGCTCCACCCTGCATGTTCACGAGTCTCCATTATTCATTCTGTAAGTTGATCGTTGCTTGGAGAACAGCTCTGGAACCAACCCAAAATCTAAACGATTATGGAATGCACAACATTCAGATACGATGTGTGCGCTAAATATACTATCTTGAAAATACCTGAGCCGCACATTGTGCAAATGCCACCCGCTGAAATGTTTGTTATAAATAATGTAATTATTTGTTTCCCGAAAGGATATTATAAAGAACGCATAATTAGGATATGGGCTTTCTCCGTGTCATTGATTGGAAAAAAAACGGCCATATATCGGCAAAGCAGAGGACATCACCTGCCCACTAATTAGCACTATTTACATCATGAACTCAAATAATCCTAGCAGCTGTAGAAGATTGTATGATGGTCACAGTGAAAAGATTTTTCTTTTCAGTTGAGCACTGCATGCACATTTTTGTACATTATATAGTAGGGCAGACAGATTGGTTTATCGTTCCACAACACACCTCAGAGTGGTAGCTTGCACAATTTCGAATTGACAACAGGACATTAAGGATATGCAGATTATTTTCGTAAAAATTCACATTACCGTTCCATTGTTCAAGAATAAATTGCGACTTCACTCAACGTATCAACAGGCAGTTATCCTGAACTTAAAACCCTAGCAGCCAACCAAGAAAGCAATTTGTCCATAAAGGTTTTTGGGTTAGATCGCGTATGTGTCGAAACTCTCCCCCCCCCCCCCACAGCCAATCAGTAAGGTATGTGTCAGGTAAACAGCCAAATAGTTAATACTTCAGCCCGCCGGTGTGTTGGAAAGTGAATCCACAGATTGTAAATTTACTTACGCGATCTAACCCAAAAACCGGTGGGCTGAAGTAGTAAATATTTGGCGTTTTGTTTACGTGACAAATCCCTTACTGACTGGCTGTGTAGGGTGGTGGAGGGTTTCAACACATTTACACTTATGCGGTCTAACCCAAAAACCTTTATTATGAATAATATTGGTCGCGAAAGCCTACGTGTTAAACAAACCAATTTGTGCCAAAGAAGGGAACATGCCACATGATTACGTCCACCTCGGAGATGGAGCGATTAAATAAACTCGTGTGCACGAACGAGATGGGTTCGGACACTGCAAGACGTTGAGAGATGACAAGGGCTCAGGTGGGGGTAGGGCTTCTTCCAGCAGTGGATAGATAATAGCTGTTCATTAGGATTATATTTCCGTACATTTCTATTTCGTTATATTGTACGGCATTGCTAATGACTCATGTGGTGAGCTTTTGTTTGTGGAGCAGTTACACAAACGGTAAACTTCCGTCCCAAAACATTTGTTGGTTCATTTAACCCCCTTGTTTAACCTCAATCAACAGAACTCCTCTGGCGGCATGCCAATCTGCGCGCAGGTGATACCTGGCAATTACGAAAGAGCCTTTGGTGAGCGGTTCCATCTGTTCCTTTTTTACATTCCACCCCCACACCCAGCCACGCCGACAGAAGAAGGACTCTCTGTGTGTCTCTCTCTGTGTCTCCCTCTCATTATGTGTACCTCTTTCTCTTAGGGTTTTTTTGTTCCTGTTGCCCGGCTCTCTGACATTGACATGCCAATCTTCTCATTGGCACGCCTCCGGTGGCTAGGCCGTCTCACATTGATATGCCAATCTCTCACATTTACAGCTTCAAATCAAGATTTACGTACAAATTCCTTCTCTAGCTCCGCCCACTTACCCTTAGGTTGGGCCCACCAAAATCCTATATAAACTCTTGTTGCCGCAGCTCTTTCTCCTACGTCAGCAATCCTCCCCCCTGCTGTGTTTGTTTCACACCTGATGACGGATGCTAGTGCTGCGATCGAAACGTCGTGATCTATTATTTTTTATACTACGTGACTTTACCGAAATAACCAAAGAGTATGGATTCCTGCAGTCACGAAAGCTTCAAATCAAGACTAAGTAAGTTACTTTGAAAGTTAATTAGCCACACATTCACCCAGCGACCAACAATGGGGCTCACGGGCGTATTCAACGAACGCTAATGTCTTTATTACGTGATATTTGTCAGAAAGCCCACGTGAAGTCTGAGTAAAGTGTCAATCATTTATGTTGCACTGCATGTGTAATGTGTAGACAGTTGTGGCTTTCATTTAGTGCATATTCCTATAGTATAGTGTATAGTTGTACTTGCTTATGATAAATAGCATTATTAGTGTTTCTTTGATTAAAGTGCAAGTAGTTTTATTACAGTCAGCTTTCATTCAGTGAGTGTCATGAGCAAGAGGAAGGGTGGCAGTGACATTCCGTTTTTTGGGCAGCCTCAGAAAAGAAAAGTTGAGAGCAGTGAGAAAATGAGCACCAGTCAGATGATAGACGTATACAGTAGTACAAGAGATGACTCAATGTTTCTCGATATAATAATTGACATTCAGATCAGAAATGGTTATTAATCCATCCCTGAACATCATGGAAAGAACACCACTTGTTTACTGATAATATTTCTTTCATGTTCACCCTGGTGAATTCAGAGTAAAGCGAGAGAGGGAGAGAGAGGCCATGAGGATGCCGACAGGGCAAGGAGAGCAGGTGGCATGGAGATGAGTGAGAAAAGGAGCAAATATTGATGGTTAAGACCGAATAATGACATCACAACAGTCTAATCCTAATGTTAATTTAAGCTGAGATATTCCTCTAAGTATGGCTTCTCATGTGTATTTTAGATAATACAATCAAGCAGTGAGTTTGAGACAATGACAGAGAGAGAGCAGACAGGCAAACGAAGATTAAGGTGCACGAGAGGGAGGGGAGGAGCTTAGACCTCGCCCAAATCAGCCAAATGTTAATGTCTTACCTAGTCAACCCCTATCAATTAGGACATTCTACTTTCAGGAGAAATGGTTTAAAGAATATACTTGACTCCATTACAGACCCTCTTAAAGCGGATCCTCGGTTTCTATTGTGCTAAATACTTTGCAACACAAAAGTCTAAGTTTGCATCAAAAGCATATTCAGCTTTTGTCAAGACTGGCTTTCAAAATTGGAAGAAGGCATAAAGACACAGCCTGTGTCACAAATTAGCTGCGATGACTCGGATTTAGGAGCCAAAACCTGTTAATGTACAACTTTCACATGAGCTTGAAAGACAGCAGCAACAAGGGAGGAGAAATATTATGAAGATTGTTGGGGGTGTGAAGTACTTGGCACGGCAAGGTCTGGTTTTTCGAGGCATTGATAGTGGGAATTTCAGCCTGCTACTAAAGTACAAGGCAGAGGGCAAATCAGAGCTAACCACCTGGCTGAAAGGCCACCGATTTTACCAGTCCCCAAATGCAAAACGAAATTTTGAAGCTGGTGTGCAATACAATCGTTAAATTGTGTCGGAAATAATATCAATGCCAGTGGTCCAGTTCACACTTATCATTGATGGCACCCAGGATATTTCAGGAGTTGAGCAGGAGTTAATGTGTTTGCGCTTTGTAGATGCAGATCTACAACCAAAGGAATCATTCCTGGGACTCTATGAAGTGTCATCAACGACAGGGCAAAACATAGCCAAGATGGCATGTGATGTGATGATGCATCTAGGACTTCCTCTGTCCAAACTTCGAGGACAAACCTATGACAGTGCCGCAAATATGGCTGGACGATTGCAGGGAGTGCAAGCCATTTTAAGGAAATAACCGCTGGTTATTTATTGTCACTGTGGTCCACACTGCGTGAACTTAGTTACGCAGCCTGCCTGTGTAGCCTCTCCACTAGTAAGAGAATCAATGGGTATGGTGCATGAATTGGGGGGGCTTCTTTAATTAATCTAGCAAGTTAAAGGTGATTTTCCAGGAAACTGCAAAATCAGAGCATGGTTTCACCTCGTTGAAACCTCTCTGTCCCACCAGGTGAACTGTTCGCACCCTTGCCATCCGCTCAGTTCTCAGCCAGTATGAGTCAGTGCTGACAGCCCTTGAAGAAATGGCATCATGCAACTCATCTGACACTTCAACTAAGGCTAATGGTCTTCAAGGAACATTTCTAAAAGGGAACACTGTGCTCGGCCTTGTAATGGTTGAAGACCTGATGGGGGATTTGGAGTGCCTGAACACCTCCCTGCAGCTTAGGAAACAGACTGTTTCAGGCGGGGTGGAGGCTGTGGACAAAGTCAAAACAAGCATGCAGGACAAGCAAACGGAGGAGCACTGCAATGTCTTGTTCACAAAAGCAACTGCTATGGCAACAAAGTTGGACCTACAACCTATTCAGATGCCTCATATCTGCAAACCTACAAAGCGTTACGCCAGTCAGGCTGCAGCCCATATCCATCCGGATGCCCAGTCGTTGTACAGAGCCCAATTCTACAACGCCTTGGACACAGTGAATACTCAATTCATAGAGAGGTTTGATCAAGCTGGATTCCACAAGCTGCAGAAGCTGGAGAATGTGCTGCTACGCGAAGACATGGACAAGGTGGTAGATGAGTATCCTGAATTGAATTCAAGACTACTGCAGGTGCAACTGGCCATGTTTGAGGCCAATTACACATCTCAAACCAGCTCAGATGTCCAAACTTGATTTGAAGCGTTCGTAACTGCAGGAATTACTCTTTGGTTCTTTCGGTAAAGTCACATGAAGAATGGCAAGTCAAAACACTTGTCATTGCCTGGAAAGGAGATGAGAGGATAGGAGAGAAGAGCAGAGGAAAGGAGCAGAAATTACTGCAGAGAAGGGGAAAGGAAAAGAGATGACCGAAGAAGAATATAGGACCATAGGAGATGAGGAGAGAGGGCTGGAGAGGAAAAGAGAGGAGAGCAGAGCAAACGCCCCATGCTGCCCATCCAAGTTTACTTGTAAATATGTAAATTAAAACAACGATTTGCTAAACCTTGGCCACAATATCTGGACTTGTCTTCATATAACAATGCATAGATTTCTGTTTACATGATTGTGGTTTTGGTTGTACTTTATTAATCCATAATATCCGCCATTACATACAATGAAACAAGAAAAGGTTAAAAAGTAAAAACAGAGCAATGTAATACAATACACTATTAGACATTATTGTAAAAAAATAACTAAAAAGTCCATCCCATGTTTTAGTGACTTTTTCAATATTTTAGGCAGGAAATTAGTTTTCAAATTTAGATTTTTTTTCTGGGGGGGGGACCCCTAGACTCCCTGGAAGATTTGGTTCCCCCTAATGTTCACTCTAAGGCTACTACGACCTTGATGTAGATATATTAGCTGCTACTGTCGATGCATGTTGCCACCCCGGTGGTAACAATCACGCCATTGGCTCATGGGCAACCGTGTTTATAGAGCAGAGGGGTGGAGAATATTTCCCTTACCCAAGACCGAATCGTTTGTTCCGGAAGACGCTTACACAGTACGTGGAGCGAAACGTCGGACATCATGCCAACCAACACACGGTAGGTACAACGCGATAACACATCGGAGAGCTGTTTCGGCACAACCACCAAAACCTACACACTTCGATTAATCATCAGCCATGCCCAATCCACAATTGGATGAAGACCTCGCCGCTGGCGGTCGCATCTCTCACGGTCCTGCGATGCAACAATCCACAGAGCATCTGCACCACGGGATGGTTTTTCTTCGCTTCACTTAACGGATACCTCTCCGCCATTGGCTGTCAATGCTTTTCAAACACTACCTTTATATAATCTACCACGACACTTTATCCTCCTAAACGTTAGGATAAAGTGTTGGGCAAGCTCGTAAATATCGCCCCGCTCGAGAGGACCCGAAGACACGGGGGGCGGCTACAATGGTTGATAAGCGACGGACTTTATAATATAAAGTTCTGCGGGCCGTTTTGAAGTGGCAGACTTCGCGTGACGAGGGGGGAAGCGAAAACGCCGCGTCTCGGCGTAGCGGACACCAACAAACAACACGTGGAGACCTCGCCGGTCACGTAAGGCAATGCTCGTTTAAATAGTCGTAGGTACCCCCCCCCCCCCCCCACGGCTTGGCTGCTACAACGCACATGTACACAGATGGTTGCCTGGCACACACACAAAAAAACGTATAAACAAGCCCGCCTATGGCTCATAGGCTTAAACAAACACGACCTTCTTCAGTTTAATGAGCGTGTGGGTTATGAGTGTGCTGTGTGTTTGTGGGGAGCGGTGGTGGAGCGCTTAGCGCTACGAACCTGGCGATCCGAGTTCGATTCACGGCCAAAATCAGTGGCGATTATCTGAACCGGTCCTGGGCCTCCCCTAGGTCGACTCAGCCTCAAATGAGTACCTGGTGCGGTGTGTAGTAAACATGCCTTATTGAGGAGCTGGCTACCCACCCCGTCGTGTGCCATAGGTGCTCGCTAATAGCACTTACACCCCAAAGTGTATTCAGGCTATAATAGACAGGGCATCTTTGTCTCGTGTAATGTGTGCGAGCCATTGACGGGGCCACTTACTCGGGAGGAGTCGCGGGTGTTCAAGTTCTCGACTCGCTGCGTGTCCGCAGAGACTTGTTGGGAAGACGACGATCCTCATTCACCGTCGCCACCACCACCACCGCCGCCGACTATATCCTCGCCGTGTCCGTCGGTCCCACCGCTGGGTAAGAGGTAGTTCCTATCGCTGGGTGGACCGGACGAATTGACGGGAGTGATGAGTAAGTAAAATGATGGCTGAATGGATTGATAGGGGGGTCGGTGGGTGTGTGGGTTAATGAATGGATGAATGGGATCGCCCAATTTGACGGATGGCCGAATGATTTTATGAAATCATGGACGGGTGGATCGACGGGCTACGCAGAAGCCGGCAGTCGCTGCTACTGCGGACAATATTCGACCGCCGTGGACGAAGAGGCGAGTGGCTTTGCCTGCAGCGCGCACTCATTCACACAGCGCAGGCCCCGCCCACAGTAGGGCGCTCAATGGTGGGGGAGGGGGTTGGTGTGGGGGTGGGGTTGGTTGGTGGGTGGGGGGGGATGTTTAGTTATTGTTTCCTCTATGGCGGTGACGTCACAGCAGTGCACCAAGACCCCTCCCTCCCCCAGTGCACGGTGGGTGACGGCAACGTTGATTTGAACAGACCACCCCGGGCACGTTCAAAGTTAAAAAGTTCAAAGTTAATTTATTAGGTATAGCCCTGTGAGCCATTCGGCTCTTGAATCGGGTGCAACCGCAACAAACAAAAACAAAAACATGAACAAGAAAACATCTTAAAGTGACTATGTGCAAACAGAAAATCCAAGAAAAGACAGCAAAATATTGCAGAAAAAATCACCGTACACCAAGCCTGTGCAAATATCCCAGTGGGTTGCAAGTCAAACAACAACACAAACCACAAGACAACTTAGATTAAGGCCATCAGTCTAACTCTGTACTACAACAAACAAACATGGCCAAACCAAAAAACTTTTCGAAAATCACCAAAATAAAGCCATAAAAGCAATGAAACAGTGGTCATAGGAACTGTGACCGAATTTTCACAATAAACGACGCAAACAACATCTACTACCAAACTCTGCAGCCATAGCTGGCTGCATGAGTCACTCCACAACAGTAGGAGCATCAGTCAGAGTATCAACATTTTTAAATGCACCTTTAAGATCAGCGCACTAAATCAAAACACAGATTATACACGTGGTGCTTACTCGAGCACCATCAGTCAACGAACGAAGACACTCTCTTTACGTTGATCTAAAAAAAACAGTGGATCTTAAACCTTTACTGCAGCCTTGCATCCCTTTGGTTCTCGATCTTTTTCATGTTAGTAAATATAGAGGTTTTATGAAACAAAGTAGTTGTACTTACGTTGCCTGTGCTTCATTTGTGTTTGGATTATTTAGCTTCTAGAAAAAAATCTGGCCATGTCTCGCACCCCTAAAAAGGGCATCTCGCACCTCCGGGGGTGGGTGCACCCCAGGTTAAGAACCACTGATCTAAAACAACAGAGAGCTTGAGTCCATCGGCCTATCAGCCGTCCGGAACAATGTTTCCGCGCATCTTCATCAGTCACGGTCAATAATAATAAATCCACTGCTGAATGTAGACCTGACCATGGCGTGGTTGATCATGGGGGTTGTTTGACCATACTTCGCCATGCTGTAAAGTCTGAGCGAAACGGTTTGGATATTACCAGCCACTGATTTTAGCCGTGGTGGGGAATCGAACTTCAAGTCGCGGGTTTCATCATGCCACCACCAGCAGGGTTAAAGTTGGGTTAGGGTTTATCGCGGTGGCGTCATTCGCCTTATACTTTACACACTGTCCACAAAGTCCAAATATTATATACTTTACACAATATAATTGATGTGCTACGAACAAGAGGCCATAGCCCGACAAGTCGCATATTATGTATTTTTCCCATAAGACCACAGTGTTATTGACAAATGTGTTGAGTTATGTGTTAACTGTGCTTGTGCACCACTGCCAACGCAGCATTGCCACATAATATGTGTTTGTATACAGTATATGGTGTGTATAGGGTGGTCCAGATGTCTTGTGACCCCCATTTAATTCTCTAAACCTTAACATAAAAAAGATAAATTATTATGAAACGGGGAAAAACATACGAGGGGTCAATTAATTGGGGGGGGGGGGGTCACTTGACATCTGGACCACGATTTTAAGTGCGCTGTTTGTGATGCTATCCGATTCCTCGCATCAAGCATGCTGCGACAAACAAGTCACCGAGCGTGTAGAAAAAAAAACTCGTTACATTGTAAATTCGGCAAGGGAAGTCTAAAAATCCACTCCACAAATGATAAAGCACTGTACTGTATTAAACATAACATTATGTGGTGGTGATAATGTTACTACGTTGGCAGTTGGTAAAGATGGGCCATTGCCTGAAACGTAGCCTATTTTATTTCCTTTTAAGGCAACAACAATGTTATTGACGAATATATCGAGTTGTTTTATTCAACATAGTAACCTGATACAATAAATGAATGATGTAACCAAAAGACGAGCAAGCTTTAATAACTATATGGTTTTCGTTATGAGTTTCAAAGCGACCACTTTGCATTATTTATAAGTAAATTGTCGTGTGTGTGCAGGAGACAACATCGGCATTGGGTCTCTGATCCGCTCGAGCAGCGCCTCAAACCTGCATTGCTGCTTCGCGAAAGGGCCTTCAATCGCTAGGATCTCTAGAGAGAACCTATAGAAGGTGTTTGGTCTACTCTTCAATACTATGTGTATGTTGAACTTCTTTGCCACCGTACGTAGCCAACCGTGATAATCGGAGGTGCGGTGGAAGGACAACAAACTAAACACCAAATTATCAACAAACAGTTCCACCAGCCAGACATCTTGGAAGAGGTGGGGTACCTACACTTCACCCCACCAGACGCGATCTGCCAATCGACCAACTAACTGTTGTGTACCCATTTATACGTATGTAGTGAGTCCAACTGAGTCGCAGACATTGTTCCTTTTAGAGGCAACACTTTTATTGTAACACCGAAACACAAAGGGGTAACTGCCCCTTTACCAGATACATCTTAGGGTGGTGGCCACCCAGCTAACTACCCTATACAGAGGAGTTACTGCTACCAAGGGTCGGACACTCACTCGGGTCTCCGACCACGTGGTTGCCTCGTAAGACGAAGAGCTTCAGCTTGAGACGTAGAGCTTTCCGCTTCCAGATGTTGAGCTTCCAGCTTGTCGAATGCAGCGACCCCGGTCCCTCTCAGGGACCCGTCTTATATCCCCCTATGGCCGGGGCTGTTCTGCCCTCGGCCCCGCCCGCCTTCTCGAACATTCTCATTCTCTCTCGATCCTTCTCAAGAGCTCTCCCCGGACACGTGATTACCCACTAGCCCCCCCCACCTGAGGCCCCTTGTATGTGTAGAGGAGTAGTGTGAGGACGTGATGTCATGAGCGCTGTGAGGCGCGAGGACGTCATGTCATGCGGGATACTTAAGGGGGACCCCGTGACGAAAGCGGGGTCATTGTGGGGGCCCAGGACCGAGAGCGGCTAAAGGAGGTCTCTCCCGCTCGTGACCGGACAGTGTTGGCTGAACCTCCATCCGGGTTCGACGAGTGGGAGAGCCGAAGAGATAGCCGAGGGCAGGGCTCTAAGAATCTGTGAGAGCCGGCTAAGAGTTAGGGGGGTTGCTCTCCTCGGTCGGGCGGTGTTGGCTGAACCCCCGTCCCGACTCGAGTGAGAGAACCCAAGGGGATAGAGTGGAGCCTGGGGTTCACACGAAGGACCCAGTGTAGCAGACACCTACCTCTGTTATAAGTGTACTTTCCCCTGTCATAATAAATTGGCGTAAGCCCCTACATGAAGTTCTGTCTTCGCGTCCATCTTCACTACACAACATATGGACTCTCCGGATCACGTGTCTACGGGGTCAACCAGAGTGCCATTGCCCAGCGCAACCCTGCCCCTGGGCTGACGCTCACCCACTCCCCCTCGTGGGAGCCCCCACCACACACTGTGCCTGGTGCCCGCACTATCCCAGTGCTCACCAAGCCCCGCTAGGTCTGGTATTACCCACAGCCACCCACACGGTGCTGTCTACGATGTAGGAACATCGAATGGCACGGCCCTTTCGGGCCGGCACCATACAGTGACATCCCCAATGTCACTACACGTACAATACACATGCTGGGTGCACAGAGGAGGTGGGACATTTTAAGACATGTGTCCAAGTCCAGTTTGCTTAAATCTTTTTCACAAAAGAGGTGCCAGCCACACCCACGACTGAAGAAATCAAAACTCCCATTTGAAGCCCCAGGGTCGCTCGAATCAAACGCCGCGCGTCAGCCGCATGCGATGAACGAACTTCAGTAAAAAAATATGACCTATTGAAAGTACATTGTCAATGTTGAAAGGTCATTTTCAAAACCATGCTGAGCTCTGCTATTCGACGTTGGTGATGTCGGATTGACGTAGTAACTTCCGCAAATATGAATTGTGACACCCTGCGCTATATATATTTTACTGCCTTTAAGTCAAGGGCGGTGTTCAAGATGCAAAATACATTGACGTAATGTGACTTCCGTAACAGTCGGGTTGGACTCTCCGAGGTCGATTAAATGTGTACCATGTTTTGGGGAGCCAATAATGTTTCTCAAATATACAATAGTACTCGCCATGGACATGTGGAAGTTCCGCTGCTGACCACAATAATTAGTGCTGCCCAATGTCCTCATTATAGCCAACACAGCCGATTCATAAATAACTCTTAATGTAGAGATTATATTGTCAGCTGATGAGGTCAAGCGTTAAAGAGAAGAAACCACTCCTACATCATTTGATGCATCATCTCGACAGCAACAATAACTTATGTGATAATTTGAAATTCTGTGGCAAGAAGATTGTCATGAATTGCGTTGGCATCGTCTCTATATGATCCCAATTGAACTGTATTGTACATCTTATGAGTACAATTATACTGCACTGTATTGATAATTCACGGCCATTTTTCAAGCCACTGAAAAATGAAGGCCTCCTTCATTTGCCATACTTCATCGCCCAAGACCGGTTTAGATATCGCCCGCCACTGATGTTAGCCTTGGCTGGGATCGAACTCAGGTCGTCGGGTTCATATCGCATTGTTGATAACACTATGTAACACAATTTTTGTT